ATCTGATCTAAATCTTTCTGATCTGATCTGATCTTAATTTTTCTGATCTGATCTGAACAAAATAAGAATAAGCAATAAGTAATAAGAATAAGACGAAGAGAACATCTTGTAAGAGTATTTGTCTAAAAGAAAGACTAAGGCTATGCTTGGCATGCAAAAGCTGCTAACTTTTTTTAGTAGAAGACCTTAGCTCAATTTGTTTTTTCCGGTCTTCTACTAGACATTACGCAGGGCTATGTTGCACGGATACGGATATGCCGATACGCCGATACGCGAATACGGGTACGGCGATACGGCAATTTGAAAAATAATAGGATACGGGTACAGGGGTATATTTATAAATAATAAAAATATAGGGTATAATTTGCAAATATATATAATTCAGGGATTCATAAATAAAATAATAATAGTACAAACAATTAACTATTATAATAAAATTTCAAAGATTAGGCTAAAAAAACTAAAGTGGTAGGTGCTCTTTAATATTTGATTATAACTAGACCTGATATTACATATGTATTCCATTATTTTTCATACTCCCGAAACCATGTTTATCAATGTTCCACATCTTGTGGTCGCTTGGGCGGCTACTAAATTTTTGTCATGTCGTGTATTAAATGAGGGGTTATAGGGTCAGATACGCGTATCGGTTCACGGATATGGGTATCGGTAGTATCGGTGTTTTTAAAATTAAGCCCGATACTTTTATTAAATTACGGATACGGACCCAATACGTACAGGACACGTATCAGTGAGTATCGGATACAGATACGTATCGGATATGCGGATACGTCATCCGGATGAAGTATCGGTGCAACATAGACGCAGGGTAGCGTTCATTGAAAAGATATTTTTCCTCTTTTGCGTGTATTCCTCGTATAACCCTGTGCTCCATCCATTGTTCTTCTCTGATTTCAAATTTTCCTTCACTTATCAATATCCCCATCTGGAAATCTGCAAGTAGGTTCCATCTTCTTCCTCATTTTGTTTATCTTTCTTAAACCCTTTCATTCATCACTGTTTTAGGATGTTTTACTTGGACCGTTTTCAGTATACCAGATCAGACCAGGCCTGAATTTTTTAGTTTTGCTTAACAATTCGTAGCCAAAATTTGTGTGATAATCAAGCTTGATATATTTTACCCTTTTGCATCAATTTGGTAAAAATCGTACTCAAAATTTGTGTTAGATTTTTACTTATTTTTAATCTCTGTTTTAGGAATTGGAATATATTTCTTGATATTGGTTATTATCAACAAATACCTTGGCAGCTTTTTGGGTTGTGTATTTGTTGAATGCCCATGTTCTGTTCTTTCATAATAATGCTAATTTTTTAGGATAATAGTTGTTGCTTTCCCTAAGTTGTTCATCCTTCTTTGGTTCAATACAGTGACTGTTTTTTGTTGTATTTCTTACTCCTTTAATTATTATTTTGCTTTATTAATGGTTTTCCGTGTTTATTTCCCTGTTTTTCTTCAAGTTTTTGTGTGTTAATATTCTGTATTTTTGTCCAGTTTTTGTTGTAATTTATTATTGTAAAATGATTTTACTGGATTTTCCTTGCTGTTATCACCTGAAATTTGCTACTTTTATTTTTCTTTTTCTTTTTGTGTGTGTCTGTTGTTTTCTAGTCACTATATTGTTGTTTTGATGTATTTCTTGCTCCTTTGATTATTATTTTGCTTTATTAATGGTTTTATGTGTTTATTTCCCCGATTCTTTTCCAAGCTTTTGTGTATTCATATTCTGCTGTTTGGTTCAATGTTTGCTATAACTTTTTATGGTGCAATGTTTGTACCGTGTTTTTTCCTTGGTGTTATCACCTATAAATTTTGCTACTTTTACTTTCTTTTATCTTTTTGTGCGTGTGCCGTTTTCTAGTTACTACATTGTTGTTTTAGTTGAGTTTATATTTTTTTAATTTTGTTTGGTTTTTTTTATGTTTTCTTTTTTACCAAGTTTTTTGTTGTTATGTTTTTGTTGTGCAATCCACAAAAACAACTCGATGCATGTAACACTGTTTATTAACACCAAAATGAGTGTATTACTTCCGTGATTCATGAGTGTCAAGATTTGGCATCATAAATAGGAATATTGATGCTTAATTGATCGTTATTATTCAAACTAATAAAGTGCCTACATAGGAATTGCTATGTGCGCCCAAACAATTGTATTTTACTGTTTTTTTATTGTTTTGTATTTGCTTTTCAAATTTTTGTGGAACCTCGTAGCATTTTATACTTTTCATTGTACTATTTTTTAGTTGCGTTGTTGTTATTTACTCCGTAATATTTATGCACACTCAAATAGATGGCCTCCAAGAATGACAATCAAGAGTGTCAGAATTTTGTGTCAGCGGAAGATCTCGTTATCATATTTTGTGAAAAATGTATTGAGTGGATTATGAAGGACGGTCAAACTACTCCTTTCAAGTGGTGAGTAATCGAAAACCAACTTGAAGAGCATACTAAAATCGTTTGCAACACCAAGAGTTTCAAGAATAAATTTTATTCCATGAAACGAGATTGGAGGCTTTGTAGGTCGATATAAATTTATTATGTATAATAAACTAAACCCGTTCTTTGTAAGTCAATATTACTTGGTAGATAAAGGCTACCTTGATCAAAAAGGGTACCTCGTACCATATCCAAAGATCAGATATCATCAGTCCCAGTTTGAGAATGAGTTGCCCACTAATGCTGAGGAAGCTTTTAATCGTGCACATTCGTCACTCCGGAGTTGTATTGAGAGATCATTTGGAGTACTTAAGAAGAGATGAAGGATATTTAAAAGAATACCAAAATTTAGCATCAATACACAAATTGATGTGATAGTGGCAGCCTTTGCATTGCATAACTATATTCGAAAGAACTCCAATGAAGACTTACTTTTCAATTTCATTGAAAATTACACGGACTACGACCTATATGAAGACCTAGAGGATGCACAAGAGGCAAATTCAAGTGATGCTACATATACTAACACATCAAGTGAGATGAAGGAAGTCCACAATAATATTTCCAATTTAATTTTGAATGGTAATCACTAGTTTAAGAGAATAGCACTAGCTTATATGAGTTGCAATTTACTTTGTTATTTTCAAATTGATTTTTGTTTTATTTTTATTAACGTTAAAATCATAATCTATGAAGAACCTAAAAATCGGAATATTTTAACTGAGATAAAAAAATCTTACTCTTTCCTATTAGCTATGTGCATGCATGTATTATATTTTGTCATTAATTAATATTGTTAATGCCCTTAATTGTCATTTTATAATTTCATTCATCTACTTACAACAATTAGTTTTGTCAAACAGGCTATTTCAAACAGTCAGCTTTTATGAAACAGCTACTGTCTTTAATTTCCATCTCCAAGCTTTTTAGATTACTAAAAAGTCTAAAAAAGTTTTTTTCAGCTTCTCGAGCCAAACGTAGCTTTAATAAATGAAGTTTGGTGCATTTGGAATAAAGAATTGAGGATAATAACTTAGGAATATGTATGATATTTGAAACTTTTTTAAATAGATTCACGAGTTCTTCAATTGAATTTTTTTGTCGAAGACACAAGAACATGAAGAACTTTAATAGTTTAATTTGTTGTTAGTATATTAACAGTTAGAATTTATTAAAATAATTTCTCAAAACGGGTCGACTTGGTTAACTGTTTTTTCAAAATTTAGGAACTATTCCTATACCATTTAAGTTTTGTAATATTAGGAACCGGCCCGACCTGCGGTTCCTGTACCTGTTTGCTCACCCCTAGTCTGCATAATATTTCCATCATAAATATAATAATACGTATATTTCATTATTCATCCCCCTATTTTCTCATGTCCTTCCCACCCTATTGTCATTTACCGTGGCATCATCGGCTACTAAATACATAAAAAATGTTAGTTCAGTTTTGTTATAAAAAAATGTAAATTAATTATATAAGAAAATGTGTTCAAATGTTTCAACAAACATTTCACTAAAAATACTCGGAGGTGTGTGGTTGGGCAATTGTAGCGGTAAGCGATTGCTGCCATTGTCCTTTAAAAAAAATTGTTCAGGTGTTCAAACAATATTATTCTCTCTCCTTCCCCTATAACTTTGTCAACTTTCATTTTTTTATCGTCCCATAATTTCTCATTTTCCCTTTTAAATAAAAAAAATGTGATTCATGTTAATCCTCTATCTCCTTTGCACAAATCTCAATTACACGGACTTTATTTTACTTGTCAATCAACTTTGGCAACGGAATTGAATATAACTTTTTAAGGAAATTTTTTGTGTAACAATGTTTATTGAGGTATCTAAACGAATATGTTATAAATAGAATGTTGCCTGTTGATGGCTACCAAACATTGAGGACAGACTTGATTAAAGTTGCATGTGGTGGTAGACACCCAACAATAGGGTGTTGGGCAATGGAAATTCGGAAAACAAACTTAATTGTAATGAAATGAAAGTGAAAAAGGTGAACGATGGTGGTGGACAAGGTCCCGAGACTTGTCTGAAATAAGGTCAACTGATTCCTGAACTCATTCAAAATGAATGGTTTCGAGTGGGGTCCGGCGTTGGACTAGGAAGGTACCGGATAACGGTCCTGGGTCTTGGTTTTGTGACCGAGACAGACCCGTCCAAATTCAACCCCAACAGGTTCCTCATTTTTTGTTTTTGCTACGGGTTAACTAATTAGCCATTGGGGAGACAAGGGAGTCTCATCCAACAAATCTTATGACTGCTTCAGGGGTGGAGTTGGGTTTTTTTTTTCCTATAAAGATCTCACATTCACATCCTCAATTCTTTTATCTTCATCCATCTACATTTTCTCTACTATACTCTCTCATGTATATTCATAATTTAATAATATACATATTATACTATGTAGTATTACATATATTTCTATTACCTAACATGCACTAATTATCTTTTTTTTTTTTACGGAAATCGGCTTAGATAAATAACCAATACAAGTTTAGACTATGGGTCAACTGACAAATAGAAAAAAGATAACCGTCATCCCTCAAACCATACTCGGAATTAATCGTCGTAGCAATATAATACGCTGATCCATAATCGGGAAACAATAAGCCTAACTCGGTTACCAGATTCCCCTCATCCCCCACATCCAAAACCAACGTCTTACAAACAGGAACGATAAATAAAAAGCAAATAGCAAGACAGACATAACAATCACTGAAAGAACAAACAAAACCAATAAAATAAATCTTCTTCAAAACCCTAGATTTGCTTGCACTCCATGGCGGCGGCTCAAGAGGGGGTCGCGCCCGTCGCTCACTCGCCACAACCTCACCATCAGACATGTCCCCGAAGCTTTCCATGAAAATTTGTTGCTTGAACCTTCTGCCATCCCCTTGCCGCATCTCAAGGCTCCTTCGATCCATCCGCCTCGAAACAGCCGCCGTTCGTCTCATCATCGTATTCAACGGGCTAGACCTTCTTTGTGATCGAAACCCGCGATCGGAGAAACGAGGAACCCGGACAACATTTTCGACAATAGACAGCATCTTCCAAACAATCCAAAAAGACATCTAGCAAATAAAGACTCGGAGATACGGCGGAGAGCCGTCTCCGGACAAACCCTAGGCCGCCTAGACGGCGGCACTAGAGAGAGGGAACGAGGCAAAGCCCAGATTTAACATGCACTAATTATCATTTAACACGATTAATGCAAAAAAAAAAAATTGATCGAGTAGTTTTTCGATTAACCTTAAGAAATAGGTTTTTAACTCTTCTTTATCTAAGAGTGATGTAAAACGTCCCTTTGGGTCATCATCATCACAAACCTGTGACACAAATGAAAGTTGAGAGATATTCAATCTTCACGGTGCAACGACCGATGAGGAGATGAAACAATTATTGAAGCAACACCACTATCGTTGTCCATATACTACATAAATATTTACACTTATAATATAATATTTTTTTTTCTCAACAAGCTAAGAAAAATCAAATCACACCAAGACGGGGACCAATCCGAAACAGGTTGGACCCATGTCTACTATAGGTTTAGTTAAACTAAAATTAAGTATCTCTAATGTACTTCGTATAAGTTATCTACCCCATAAGATTTGTACTTCATCAGTTCATAGTCTTTGAAATATAACGAACATATATACCCTTCAAATGAAGTATCTACCCTTCACAATGTTATAAATTGGATTGGAAATTTCTGATTTCACATAGTATGATAGACAAATATTTTGTTATGATTTTAGAACGATCAATCTAATCTATTTAAGTCTGATTTATTCAACAAACTTCACACAGTCTTGTGGAATTGAAACCAAATCATTTAAAACATCCTCATTGCAAAACATACTTTTGGAGAATGAACACAACATGTAGACACCACGGTCACCCCCTAAAGTTTATTTCTAAAAAAAAGTAGAGCAAATGACAAGGCTAGCCATTCCTAATTGCATCTTTGCTACAAATGTGGTGAGCACTGATCCAAAATCGTATCAAACTTTAAAATTAGTAATTTCAAAATCAGTAAGCTGTTAATAGGATTTTTTTTATAACAATATCTTCTTTATTAATCTTTTTTACAGAAGTATTTAAATAAAATTGAATCTAAGTTAATTCTTAATATTTGCTAAATAGGAGTACTATTTAACAAATATCGGTTAAACTTTACATAGTGCTCCCTAATATGCTTTAGATTCAAAATAATTTAAAAAATAATAATAAATATTTAATTACAATCCTATTGGTTCGTAAAAAAAAAATCTAAATTTCATTCTTAATATTTGAGTTTGATATGATCATACGGGCATACCAGTAAAGAGTACTAAATATGAAAACTTCAAAAGTCTTGAATTAAAAATTGAATTGAATGTAAAAGATCCGGTAAAAATTGATTGATCTAGTTTGGTCTCATTTTTTAGTATGGATTGAAATATGTTCAACCCTAACCACCACACATGTGTCTCAAAGCCTTGCAATGAACAATCATTACAATATCCTTAGACTATGATCAATATTCAATCATGATTAGAATAATAGTAGATCCTCGGGACCAAGTGATTATTATTTATTTTTCTCCCTTTATGTTAAGTTTCTCAATTTTTTTTAAATAATTATGAGATACAAAGGGATCATTTTTACTGAATGTGCCATTGAGCGATCTTCAACCATGAGATTTCAACTGGATATCCCCCCTTAGACATGCAGGTCGTGGCAGAGCCACCAAGTAAGTCGAAAGACCTCGTTTTTTTGTGTGAGCTTTCCATAGTTAATAATTTGCTAATGTAATGACTAATGAGGCGCCACCTCTCAATATGTTGTAGAGCTTGTTGTAAAAACAGATTTTAAAGGTATATAATTATGAACAGTGTTACAAACATGTGTTTCTTGGTGACTATTGTAATATAATGATTAGCTCTAGAGTATATTTTGTAGGAACAAATCAAATTCACACATGTGAATATGTGATCATGTTTTGAAACATGATCCTTTTGCATGATATATTATTAGTGAAAAACTGAAAACATAATTTAAACAATAGATTTCCATGAATTGTTGATAAACGAAGTTAGTTAATAACGCAGTTTAAGTAACCATGTGCTACACACATACAAAAAATAACGGGACTAGATCGATTGGAATCATTGGGTATGGATAGTTTTACTAGAAACCAATATTGAAAAAAAAAAGAATGAGCTAATAATACATAGGCATGAGATAACTTAATATAAAACCAAAATTAATAACTCAAGCTATGCAATCCTAGAATTTTTCGATCATCAAAGTTGCATAACAATGCAGAAATGAATCACAAACGAAAAAAATAAATAAAGTTGCATGAATATAATCTACCGGACATGCATGCAATATTATTCTCCGTGGAGTAGTAAATATTATTATTAGTATTATCATGCCTGCATTGCATCTTTAATACCCATGAACAATTCTCGAACATGTACGTTTGAGCCAACGGTACCCTTTCTTGAAAGAATCCTTCATTTTGCCTTCTATGGAATATATTTTATATTTCGCGATTCTCTTTCTTCTCTTCATATCTCGTTGTGAGCACCATGCGATTGACTTTTCCTTTTCCGACGATGCCTTCTTTATATAGCTGGCATTTCTCCATGGTGGTGGCGCAAAATGGGGATTTGATCGAACCAAATACATGTCATTAGCGCCGTAGGTCATGTTTGATCCGGTGATTCGTGTCGATCAGAAAAGAATTTCTTCTTCTTTTAGCTTGTCCCTTTCTCCTCTTCTTTTAGGTTCGCCCTTTCTCTCTCCTCTTCGAGGGAGAAGAGAGCGGTTGTGAACCAAGAGTGAGAATTCAATCCTTGGGGATCTTATTATGTTCTTAATTTGTGTATTTATACATGAATAAGCAAACGTGTGATAACAAAGGAGAAAAGAGAGGTGGTGGTTTTACACCTTAACTTCTTTATTTCGCTGTTGATAAATAATACCAAAACAAAAATGGAGATAGGAGCAAAGTCTACCAGCTAGATGGTACTCCGTAAATAATAAGCATTCATTTATTTATCCATTAATTTTTCTATTTATTTGTGTTAAGAATATTTAACTCAAATGGGGGGTCCCTTTTAGGAATTGTTTGGTGGGACAATTATATTTAAGACTATTATTACTGTACATAGTTTTTTCTATCTATATATGTGCAACAGAAGAGGTTGATAATATGATTCTGCTTGGACGCATTGCTATATTCACACAAATAAATATATAATCAGAAGGCATTTCATCATCCAAACATATTTTAGTAAAAGAAACATTAATACTGCAACCCAACGCACCCGGGGTCACTTCTCAACCTCATCAAGATGGCAGTCTGACTGATCGGGTCTTCGCCGGCACCTACTCTTCTTGCTAACCTTTGACTTTCTCGGTCTATCAGTGTGTGATATCTGCATAATGATCTGAATTATCAATCTACTTTCATCAGAGCCAATTACATGAGCTAGATGTGTTTATACAAAAAACAGGTTGAGATCACTTCCATACAATGTGAGATTTCCACTCAATTTTGTTATGCCCATCAGAGGAGACCCCAGCAACAGGCTGTGTATGACCACGAACATGACGAAATATATGGAGGAGGACAACAGCATCCAGTGCAGCATATTCTAGCTGCATTCACCTTAATCTATTTAGTGATAAGATCATTTAATGAGGAGAAGTTTCTTTGTCTACTTTGAGGGTCCAAAAATAGAGCACCCCCATTTTTAAGCACCGTACCTAATTGGGTGTCCAACCACAAGATTCCATTTATATTATACGTTTTCAATTTAGAAAAATTTACAAATAAGAAAGTTCATCGATCGTATTTTTCGTCGGTGAAATGAGCTAAATATTATACTTCCTCCATCCCATAAAATAGTCCCCACTTGGATTTGGATCGGAGTTCAAGAAAGTGGGAATAAAGTGGAAATGTATGGTTGTGGTTGAGTAAGAAAATATAAATGAATGGTAGCCACACAAAACTTTCCAGAATGGGAAATGGGAACTATTTTTTGGGACAGCCCAAAAAGGAAAGTGGGAACTATTTTTTGGGATGGCGGGAGTAAAATATTTCTTTAGAGAAACACCTTTTGTGTACCTGCCATGCAGAGCAGGTGCCGTGAAATGTGATGGACACAAAATTGATGTGGTGTAAAATATGGAAGAGAGAAGAATTGGAGAAGAAAAATGTGATTGGTTCAAAGTTCAAACGTAAAAAATGCATTTGCAAATATTTGTTCAAACTCTTTTTATCTATGTCGTGCTTTCACATAAAGCATAAGAAATAAAAATACGTGTAAAATTTTAGTAATATAAACCAAAGTTAATTTTCCATAGTAAAACTAAATATAAAAAAAATTGTTTAAAAAATTCTTACCATGCCCCTTTCCTTATTCCGAATGTAGCTCTAAAGATTTCTTATCATATCAAAATCTGGTTAAGTAAAGCAGAGCACATACCTGAAATTGAGTTAAAGGTCGTTGCTCCCAGTTGCTGTTTCGTCTGGTTTTGTTCAAAGCAGCTCCCAATATTTTCTGCATCACATACAAATGCACTTCTCAATCCACATATCTTGGGACCAGAAGAAAGCTATGGCAATTGTGAGAGTCGAGCAAATTTTTGGAAAAGACAGTTTCCACAAAAGCAAACTAAGTTTGATCTATAAAGAGTTACCTTTGTTAGACCAGCAAGACCCCCCCTTGGCTCCTTAAAAAGATTCTGAATGTCAAGAAGCATGTCATAGTGCTTAAAGCAGCGCAACCTTTCATAAGAGCGAGCAAGTTGAGCCATGTCACATTGGAAGTTATACCCTGAGAAATTTCTTAGGCTATGATTACTACGGTTAAGGAAAATGGATCCACAGGAATACGTTAACAAATTAATGTACATATTCACAGCATAGCAGATTACCAAATTATTATGCGATACTTAATCATTACTTTTTATAACCACTAAGCCAAATCATCATGAGATTCAGCTTGTGGAGACTGAAATGAATTAACCCATATCCCTGAATAAGCAAACCAATATCTCTTACCAAGTTTAAGTATTCCTGGAGAATGAAGTATGCGAATTAGGCAGTCATCTAAAACATCGGGGACATCATGGTGTAGTTTTATAAGATCTAGTATGAAAGCCTTCCTTTCAGAAGCAATTTGCATTATAGAGACCTGTCATGCATGTATAAAAAAGGAATTTATTCTTAAGATTCAAACAGCAACTTGATATTGGGGGCTAAATAAAATAGGATAAGATTTTCCCTAGTAATCAGCGATTGGATTGTGGACTCCAAGTTATTGAATTTGTTTTCCCCTAGACTTTTTTATCTGAATTAAATAAAAAAGGTATAAAGGGACACAGAGATTGGCTTGTATAACAATACAGTAGGAAGATATCATTCAAAACTACCTTGTTAGGTAAGCTCCCCTTTACATAATTAGGCTTCCATTCACAGTCAAGGCCCACCACTTTACATTCCTCAAGATGGCATGTAGCATCATGCAAGCCATTTATATCATCAACCCAAAGAACTTCCTCAATAGACATATCTTTGAGTTCCAAATATTTGCTTTGTTCAGCACACGCTTCAAGCTCTGCATAACATAAAAGCATGGGGTACACATCAAAGAAAGAAGGGGGAGCAGTTCGACTCCAACTACTAGTTATCAAATCAAACCATAGTACACAACAATACTGTCCCCAGAAACCTAAAACTCAACATGTATCTCTTCGTCATATGTATTAAAAAACAATGTACGTAAACAACTATGGAAACAACTGTAGCTGATTTCAACTATTATTGTTTGCACTTCATAGATCTCTTCCAAAAGATATGAGATTCTAGCCCCAAAACTTCTACTATGATAATAGGTCCTCTTTTCAGCTATCATTTATTTTCCTAATAGAGAATCCAATGCAACCTCCCAACTCATATTCTCAAACAACTAAGAGTTAATCCCAATCTAATTGGGGTTAGCTCAATAAACATATACTTTTTCGAATAATGTTTACATAATATGTTCCATTGACCATCGCTTCAAATCAAGTTATTCCTAACCATTAACTCCCATGTATTCTATGAGTATATCTAGCACTCACATCTCTGTTATGAGTGTGATATGACCAATTTGATTTTAACCTGATAACACTAAATGTCAAAATTATAACCTAATAAAGGCTGTTTTATATCCCCCCCCCCTACATGGGAGTTAATCAATCACATAAAGTTATAGACTACAAGCTGTAACACTCAATCCCATCAAGTTTTACGCATGGCCAAACTTTTCTCATGACTTGATATGGATAAAAAAGAGATAAAACACCTTTGGTATTTGTGAAACCTTCAAGGGAGTGGCGATTGCATAGTTCTTCAACCTTCTCTTGATAGCCAGCTTCCATAGCTAAATAAACCTTCAGCATTTTCCAATTGAAAAATAAAAAGATCAATTTGTCACAACTTTTGCAGAGAATAGAACCGGGAAAAGAATTACATCTGACTTGATATGGAATAAATATTAGGGAACCTTACTCCAAGGATAGATAGTGATGCAAAGTTTGACAAATAACTAATTTATAGCTCCCAGAGCTTAAAGAATGTAGATGCATGCACCATGTAACAGTAGCTATGATAACTCACCATGCAACCATGAATCACAAAGACGCTAAGACATTATCAATTTATTGTGATCAACAGACATACATGAGAAGATCCCCACATTCCAAATGTGGGAACAAGTGAAGGTTTTTAGCAAGATTTAATCTTTTCATATTATTATGAAGGCTAGACATGGGGTTTTCAGATGACTTACCAACAAAGAGAGAAAAGCCACAAGACCACAGTTACATATAGCACATTCAGGAAATCCATCAGAGGTTATTAACATACCAAATACTGAAGAAGCTTTAAATCATTGTTCGTCCTTGCCTCGGCAACATCCCAACATCCTTTTTCTACAAGCTTCTTTAGTTTGCTGTAAATTTTTAATAGCAGTTCCTTCCCATTAAACTAAAGGTGTTGAATAGACAGAACTAAATTATACACGAGCGATTGAGAAGTAAACATAAATAACTTGCCTTTCTTTGTATTGATGATATGCTACTGGGAATTCTTCCCTCAGACTATTTTTTCTTATAACCAAATAAGCATCATTATCCAGTTTCCTATCGAAGTATTCCTGGACAAGCACACACAAATATTGTTTACCCTTAAATGTTGCCCATTTTTCGGCAGCTTTGTATTGTTTATTATCAATGAGTCTAAGTAGAAAGGAATCTTCTGGCTCCCGGATAGAGAAGTGCTCTAAAAGAAAAACTGCATTTGTATATGAGCTGCACTCTATCAACTTTAAGATATATTGCTGAACAAATATTTCTGCTGTTCTATGTCCAATTGCATCGTTTACATGTGAGCCACATATAGCTTTCCCTATGTTTGACAGCTCGACTTTAAAAACAGAAACAATTTTGATGAGAATCCCTTCATCATAGTTCAGCCTGCTGCCAACAATGTCCACAAACAATTTTGCAGACCAATGTTTTGCATCAAAGATGTCTGTTTGGGTACTTTCCAGTCTCAGAAAACGCCCAAAGGAAGATAAAATGAGATGAGAGAAACCTTCACGGTATGATTCAAATATTGGCAAAACATAGAAGCACTGAGCAGCAAAAACAGCTGGCCCGGGTTGAGGATCATTTTGATATACTTGAACCAATACTTGTTGTAGAGCTCGAAATTTAGCAGTTGCCTTGCATGTTCCTAAGAAAACAAATAAATCCTTTAGGAGGAAAAGTAACAATTGTAGAAATGTATGAAATGCTATAGCAGTTCAAAGCAGAGCAGCCTGTGTGCCAAAAGTGTCACATGATGACCTTGTTTGGATGGGAAACCAATTCCCACAAATGAGGTCTTATACGTATGCTTGAAACTGGAAAACCTGAGAACTCCCTCATTCCTGGGTTTTCTCAATTGCAAAACTCTGATGCATCATACACCTCTTGCTTACCATAGATTTTGTCGTATTCTTAGGATGTATTAATTCTAAGCATTCCAAGCGTGATTTTATCTAATACCCCGGTTATTCCATTTTGACAACCAAATGAATACAAACAAGGCCAAAAAAGTGCATGAATGAGCTCTCACTCTCAAATAAAAAAATCTTCAAGATATGTTGGCTCCAAAACTTCAGGCATGGGATCAACATCACTTGTACTACCTTCGTTCCATTTTATGTGTCCTACTTTGCTTTTGCACAATTATTAATAAATTTGTTGAAAAAGTAGAAGTTGTGGTTGAGGTTTGAGTATAATAATAAAGTAAAATGTTGTAGGACGGGTAAAATGGGACGGAGGGGGTATTTGTTTGGAGAGGGAGTGCATTAATAAACCCTATTGTATATTCTACGTATTAGTTATTACTCAACAATATGTTTAAGACATATAAAATATTACTTAATAATATTTTTTCAATATATAATTTACTAACACATTAATAAATAAAATGTAGTTAACAAATAAAACGCAATCAAAGTGGAATTTGTAAATGGTGCAAAAATCCATATGTTGCAATTATTTAAGAACAGATGTCCAGGATATGGAAAAAAGTGAAATAGGGAAAGGATTCTACCGTAAGCATAGCATTCCTTCAAAAGATAGATAAAAACTGTTGGGCAAACATGAGACAGGTCATTGAAGGAATGTTTGGATAAATACAATGGTTGATCTTTCTTGTTAAGCTGATTAAAATCTCTCTTGTCCTTCCACATGATGAAGGAGAAAGATGAGAAAACTAGCCTGCATATCCAAAGAGTAAATAAAGAACGAGTCCCCAAAAAGAACTGGGCAACATAAAACCAACGCAAAGCATAAATAGTTCCATCTTTATTTGATGCTAACAGAAATTGAAGATGGCATTTAAGTAAGAATCTCAAGAAACAATTAGTTACTTCAAATGACATCAAAATAACAAGCCTTTTCTGACAATAGAATGAATGCAGATATTCACTTATTTTGCTCTTGCACTTGAACTGTTTCTAAATATTTAAGAGGGAGCACAGGGGGGGGTGAATTTATATGGAAAGGAAAGGGATTTCACAGACAGAAAATCATAGAAGTATCAAGTATAAAACAAAGCCCACGATCACATACTCCGTATTTCACAAGTAAATATGGTACACAGTCATCAACGGAGACACACAACTTCAATTAAAATAAAAAATAAAGTGCTATTCAGCTACTCAAAATTCATGGCTCAGGCACATCCCAGAATTAGCAAAATATACCACTTTCAAGTAGACCTTTTTTGTGCACTCCATATATCGGAAAGCACTATTTTGAAGTCGCTGTAATCACTACAAAGCTAACTGAAGCTGGTCACTCGGTCCGAACAAAAATATACATATAAAGAAGAATAAATTGAGCTACAAAATGAGAGGTGGAATACAGTCAATCGTTAGAAAGTATATCACCCTTTTTTTTCTTTTTGCATATTCTTCGTCAAATAATCTAAAGTGTTCCACAGATTCCAACCCAAGCGAAAAATAAGACTCCGTAAGTGCGGATACATATACTGATGTACACACAACATGACGCGCTCTAATAATCTGAAAAGAAAATTCTGGAAGTAGAATTTAAATATACTCCGTATATAAGTATATATATAGGGTAATAGGCCCCTTCAAGTAGGCACCTTAAGGGATAGCATTCGCCAAAAAGGTGTAATTGTTGGATTAACAATTCAACTGCCTTCGTTCTTTACTCATTGACTGTTACTTTATGATGACCTTAGACTTTATCTAAGGAGTTAAAATTAAAATCACAATTTTGAGTCGGATAAAAGGTCCCACCACATAAAGGTCAAGTATTCCCTTTCCCTTTTCATTTTTTTTGACAAAAATGGACTGAAAAGACTTCAATGTGACCTCTACCCGTAACCTCTTGATCAAGCAAAGGTGCGTTAGGACTCTCATGAGTTAAAGTTAAATCATCATCATAAAAACGCTTTATTTAGCAGAATTAAATTTCCAAAATCATCCAAGCATATTCTCTGTTTCTAGCCATATTAACATGACTAGTAATCTAGTATGAATAGTTAGTAAAATCTGGATGCTTAAATGATTATTCGGCAAAAAAAAAATAGAGCTCACAAGCTCCGTATATGCGAACGTGTGTGTATCGCAAACTATTCTCTAATAAGTAATTTTCAGAACAGAGATTGAAGAGATTTTTAAGATTACGAACTTGCAAATCACCTAAACGGAAACAATGTATGCGATTTAAGCAATTTGAACATGAACAGCAAACAGATAAAAATAACGGAAAATGCAGTCTCCTATTCACGCACTAACACAAAAAGGAGCTTCGAGCTCTAGCTTAACGGTGAAGAACATGCTTACTTGTATATGTATGTATGTATGGAATTATGGATCACGAAAAAAGCTTATCCTTCGTCCGGATTTTCGGCCACAGTTAAAACCAGAGCTCAAAATTGAGAGGAAGAAAAATCCCTAGCCCAGAGCTTTTTCGGTTAGGTGTTTGGTTCTTCAGTGAGTGCCCGTTTTATACACAGGGGTGGGCATAGACGATGAAAGGGCTTTCCTGGCATTTCACTTCGCCGCCATGCCAACTTCTGCCTTTCTTTTGCTTTTCGATTCCTTAACTAAATTTGTTCCTTCATCATATCTTCACACGTGAGACGTGATAAGCCCCATTAAATTGTAATAAATTTTAAAATTGATTTTAGGCCAAAGGGTCATATAGGCCTTGAAGTGACTTAAATGTTCAATTAGTCCCTTATATAGGAGGTTTTGCCCGGCCGTCGCCAATTGGGGCGGTTCCTTGTAGAATTTTTTGATGAAATTTTTTGAGCATCTTCTTCATTAAGTCTAGTTTACCCATACCAAATTTCAGCTAAAAATTCAACCGGGAAGGCAGTCAAATGATTTTTTGAAGATAACTGCGAAGTTAAACAGCGCAGTACATTTCGGAAAATCATTTGACTGTCTTCCCAGTTGAATTTTTAGCTGAAATTTGGTATGAGTAAACTAGACTTAATGAAGAAGATGCTCAAAAAAATTCATAAAAACATTCCACCGGGAACCGCCCCAATTAGCGACGGCCGGGCAGAATCTCCTATATAAGGGGCTAATTGAACGCTTTAAGCCAGTTCAATGGCCTATTTGACCCTTTAGCCTTGCTTTTATGATCAATAATTTGGTGGCATGTGAGAAACAATTTTTATAAGTTTTACATATATGATCCGATCTTTCCAAAAATATATCACATTAAATAAAATATTTTTAATTAAACCTAAGAAGTTTAAATAAAATTTTCAAATTAAATGTTGATTGAAGTGGTTAAATTTAACGCATCTCCTGAATTATGAAGAAAAAAATTATTATTCCAAAATAAAGAAAAGGTTGTTTGAGAAATAGTTTCAATAGTCATCTTTTGCATTTTTTGTCAAATCAATCAGAAAAGTAATTTTAATCTTGTTTATTGAGATTATTTATTACTCCCTCCGTCCCGTTGAAATGTTCCCACTTTCCTTTTTTGGATGTCCCAAAAAGAAGTTCTCATTTCCCTAAATGGAAAGTTATCCTCCATCAAAACAGTGTCAAACAGTGCCAAATAGTGTCCAAACAGTGTACAAACAGTGTCAACACAGTAAAATTTACCCACTGGTAAGTTTATTTCCTTAATATGTGTGTAGGTCAAACCGGGAACATTTCAACGGGACGGAGGGAGTACATCATTTCAAACACACAGAGAATGTGGTATTTGATAAATAAAAAATGGATGATATGATTGATAAGATGAAGACATGAATTATCAAATAGGTTGTTAAGTTCATTCGTCATTTGTGCAACACACGAGTCACTTGTATAATAATTTATAATAATAATAATAATAATAATAATAATAATAATAATAATAATAATAATTGAGTAGTAGTAATAATTACTTGATAATAATATTTGAGTAGAAGTTATAATAATAATAATAATAATAATAATAATAATAATAATAATAATAATAATAATAATAATAGTAATAATAATAGTAATAATAATAGTAATAATAATAGTAATAATAATAGTAATAATAATAGTAATAATAATAGTAATAATAATAGTAATAATAATAGTAATAATAATAGTAATAATAATAATAATAATAATAATAATAATAATAATAATAATAATAATAATAATAATAATAATAATAATAATAATAATAATAATAATAATAATAATAATAATAATAATAATAATAATAATAATAATAATAATAATAATAATAATAATAATAATAATAATAATAATAATAATAATAATAATAATAATAATAATAATAATAATAATAATAATAATAATAATAATAATAATAATAATAATAATAATAATAATAATAATAATCATAATAATCATAATAATCATAATAATAATCATAATAATCATAATAATCATCATAATAATCATAATAATCATAATAATAATAATAATAATAATAATAATAATAATAATAATAATAATAATAATAATAATAATAATAATAATAATAATAATAATAATAATAATAATAATAATAATAATAATAATAATAATAATAATAATAATAATAATAATAATAATAATAATAATAATAATAATAATAATAATAATAATAATAATAATAATAATAATAATAATAATAATAATAATAATAATAATAATAATAATAATAATAATAATAATAATAATAATAATAATAATAATAATAATAATAATAATAATAATAATAATAATAATAATAATAATAATAATAATAATAATAATAATAATAATAATAATAATAATAATAATAATAATAATAATAATAATAATAATAATAATAATAATAATAATAATAATAATAATAATAATAATAATAATAATAATAATAATAATAATAATAATAATAATAATAATAATAATAATAATAATAATAATAATAATAATAATAATAATAATAATAATAATAATAATAATAATAATAATAATAATAATAATAATAATAATAATAATAATAATAATAATAATAATAATAATAATAATAATAATAATAATAATAATAATAATAATAATAATAATAATAATAATAATAATAATAATAATAATAATAATAATAATAATAATAATAATAATAATAATAATAATAATAATAATAATAATAATAATAATAATAATAATAATAATAATAATAATAATAATAATAATAATAATAATAGTTAGTCATAGCTGAGATTTGTATCCTAGTTGAAATTAAATTGAGGGAGTAATTAGGCAAGAGTAGTAGGACTCCCTTGCTAGCAAAACCCTGATAGCCATAATTTGAAGAAACATGATCGATCACAAATTTCACTATTTTCCAACTTCAGTGTAACATCATCCCCAAGTATATTTACTTTTTACCGAATCATGTATTGAACCTTGAAGATGGTGAATGAATTTACGAGGTTGTAAATTTTGTTATTTCTTTTGCGTGAATAGTGAAATACACATGGGGTCCACACCGGGAGCGAGTTCACCCGATATTTTCGAGACCACATATTATATTCATCTTGGTCTAGATAATATTTATGTTGGGTCATATAAAAGATATATAGTGGCCTGTTGATCAAACGAGACCCATATACCGGTATTGATATTTCGGCAAATAACAGCCCATGATAATGAGTATTGTGTGGTGTAGAGTTGTGCAGATGAAAGAGAAATGTGTAAAAATGTGTAAGAGTTGTTGTGAATCACAAATTCCTTGTGAGAAAGGGAAAGATGAGATAATTTTGGGACGGACACAAAAAGAAAGTTTGAAGATAATATAGTGACGGAGGGAGTAACTCTTATTAGAATTGAATTTTTTATTTCGTAATGCTAGTACATTGTGATTTCATCTGACACTTCCAAGGAGGAGGTCACAAATTTGAATCTCATCTTAGTTCAAAGATGTTGGCTTAACATAGAGCATAAATTGCATAGATTAGGAAGTTTTAACAAAAAAAAAACATACGAATTAAAATAAATAAGGTTGAAATTGCTTCACTAGCTGAATTAAATGATTTTGCTACGGGGATATTTTATCTAATTTTACATTTTGTTTTTATTTAATTAAGCAACTACATTTTAAATATAATTCTTAATTAAGTATATTCAGCTAAATCAGTCGTTTAAACATATTATCGATAATTTCTGCAAATTAAATTTAGTCAGCTCAGTCAATTTCAAAGTTATAAAAAACAAACTCCCAATTATTATGGCCTTGTAGATAGAATCTTTGAGATTCTAATGAAATTCTATCGAATTGGAAATCCTCCCTCCACGCCTAGGTTTGTCGTTGCCACCACGAAATCTGGGTATGTCGCTCTTATCTGTCCGCTTCTCTGTTCACCTGCTCCGCTTGATCCTCCTTCGCCGCCGCGGGATCGGTGTTGCTTCCGCAGATGAAGAAGGAAAGGAAGACAGTCGAAGAAGGGAAGGAATGCTGTCAAATAAGGAAATGAAGGCAGTGATTTTGCCTTCCAATGATGTAGGCAACGAGCTCTTGGTGAGTATCACGAGAATTCCGTTGAAATTCAAATAGAGTGCAGAGATTTTGGACCA